AAAGTTGTTGATTTACTTATAATTTTGCCTTTTTGTTTTGTTTTGTTTTTTATGCATTTAAAGATTTTTCTGCACTAAATTGTTTATAAGAAATTTCGTCAAAAACTATCAATTTAAGCACGTGTTTTGAAAACAAATACCTATTAAAATTTTGTTTTAAAAGAACTACCACAAAATTGTAAAAAGTTTAAGTAACAAAACCAGTCTAATAATTTCAACTAGAATATTCGACATGTAGGTTTCACTTTTTACATTTACCGCATAAAATCACTATCTAAATTACCCTTTATAAAGATAAAAGGTGATGAAAAGTGAGACTCAAATGCCGAAATTTCTAGCCAAAATTGTTAGAATGGTAGTGCTACTTAAACTTTTTAAAAGGGTGAGTTTATCCCCAGACTCAGACCCAGACTCTAGACTCTGCCACATCAGCTTTTCACTTACTTTTAAATGTTTTTTTTATTACTCAGATTCATACGAGAGTTTCTCCAAATTCATACATTATCCCAAGACTCACTTGAGACTCATTTATCCTCTTAAAATATAATTTTTTTTAAATATAAAACAACAATCATGAATTTTTTAATACCAAGTATATAGAAATTACACTAGCCGTTGTGAAGTTTGGATTTAAATGCATGTTAGGTGATGAGGTGGCAATAATTGGTTGGCTAATGAGAAGATGTTGCAGCAATCTGGTGACATGCAAAGTCTGGAGGAGAGTTTTAATTTTACAAACTCACCCTAACTTAGGTATTGTTTTCAAAACACGTGCTTTAATTGGGAGTTGTTGACAAAATTTCCTTATCATGAAAATAAACTTGTACTTACTCATTATTTAGATGAAACTTTGATGAAATAAGTTATGATCGTTGATATAACATCAAAATACTTAGAAGTTAGGACAACCAATATCTCTGAAAATTGGCGTGCACCTAGCCTTGTTCACTTCACCTTTAAAAAAAAAAATGAAAAAATAGAATTACAAGATTAACCCCAAATGGTAAGGGTGTTCTTCTTCCACTAAGGCCCTGTTCTCTTCGCCTTAATTTTGCTGAACTGAAATTATTTTTGCTGAACTTCAATTATTTTTACTGAACTGAAATTATTTTTGCTGAATTAAAATTATTTTTACTGATTTTCTATTATAATTCTTCTTTAAGAAAACTGAATTTTACTAAACTGAAATTATTTTTACTAAACTGAAATTAATTTTACTGAAATGAACTTATTTATACTGAACTGAAATTATTTTTACTTAATATTATTTTTTAAGGTGAATAGAAACAGGGCCTAAATTTCCCCATTGAACTTTGGTTGTGAGCTCCATTGAAAGTCGCTTCCTCTAAGTACTGATTCTACGCTTTTCCAATTATCGTTTCTACTCAATTTAAGTGCAAAAAATTTTCCCTGTTTACTCAACGTAACTAACTTGAATTTACTCAGTCACCACTCACCAACGTGTCCTTTGAGTAACAATTCACGTAACTAACTTGGATTTACTCAGTCACCACTCACCCGACCACATCCCAGAGCAAGCATCCAACCTTTTTGATATACGCTGCACTATTGTTTCAAAAAATATACTACCTCCGTTACATATTACTCACTCCATTTTTAAATACTTACTTTATTTCTTCATGTGCCGAGTTTTAGGAGAAATTGGAGAAAGTAATAAAATATGGAGGTAGTGGGGTAGTTGAGAAAATAAAAAATTGTTAAAAGCAAAAGTAGTGGAAGAATATGAGGAGAGAGTATTATATTAGGTCACTAAGTATGAGAAATGAATTAAATATTGTAAAGGCTTTCCATAAAAGGAAATGGAACAAGTATTTAAAAACGGCCGGAAAAGGAAAGTGTAGCAAGTATTTAAAAATGGAGGGAGTATTTGCAATGATTTGACATAAAGTACAGAGGAAAAATGTCTAATCGTTGCACATAATATGTAACGGAGGTAATATATATATATATATATATATATATATATATATATATATATATATATATATATATATATATATATATATATATATATATATATAGGAATAGGATCAGGTAAAAACAAGTGTTAAAATAAAAACTGAAAACTTTTAATCTCAGTCGTTCATCAAATTGTATGGCTGAGATTTCTTTCCTCTTTTCAGACATGAATTTCTCTCTTCTCCTTAATTTTCACGTTATTTTCTCTCTCCTTTCTATTCTCTCCTCTTTCGTACTTTCTCTCTCTTCAACCAGCTTCTCTGTTACTCTCTCTACTGTGTTGCATCAAATTATGGCGAAAAATCTCTAGATTTCACAATAAGGTATGATTATATTCGACAATTTGTTTGTTTTTTCACGAATTTTCAGCGATTTTTGTGATTTGATATTTGTGTTCTTTCTGTTCAATTTTCATGAATTTTGCATGAGTTCGATTTTTTCTGATTTGATTTTAAGAGTTTCGCATGGAGTTTGATTTATTTTTGTAGTTCGATTTTTGCAAATACAGGCTTCGATTTTGGCTTATTTTTGCGGATCTATAGTTCTATTTTAGATTTCGAATTTCAGAGATTTAGTGTTCAAATTAGTGTTTGATTTTAGCTGATTTTTGCGGAGTTTGATTTTTTTGAGTTCCATTTTTGCAAATGTAGACTTCGATTTTTGCTTATTTTTTCGGATCTATAGTTCGATTTTAAATTTCGAATTTCAGAGATTTAGTGTTCAAATTAGTGTTTGATTTTAGCTGATTTTACATAAAGTATGAAGAATGCTTCCTGGTTTAAGATACTGACTTTGATTCTATATGTCCGACTTTTGGTGTTGAGCAGACTGCTTAAGCGACTAACCCTGGAGCTACAGACATCTGAGGTGGATTTGTCACTGGCTAACATCTCAGTTCATCTTGATGTTGGGAAGGGAGGAAATAGTGGCTCAAATGCTATTGCCCCCACTATAGAGGTTGGTTCTGAGTTTCTTTTTCTTCTATTTGTTTCTTTTTTCTGAAACTTGGAGCTAACTGCTTGATAGATTGCTTCTGATCATGCTAAATCGACATCTACATGACTTTCTTGACTGTTGAAAAGTGTACTTCTAGTCTGACATATGTGCATGGTTAATTTGACTCTGTACTGGATTTTGCTTCAAAACTTCTGAATTAGGCCTGTTTTGAACTTGAATCAAGGTAGCCAGAATTCGAGGATTTGGATACCTTAGCTCAACATCATGAATAATTATGGGCAGAATTCAAATAGAACATTGTATTACTTAAATATGAGCAGAATTCAAATATAATATACAGATCAAATCTAGACAGTTTCCAATTGCCTTGTACTATAAGAGAATACAAGCTGAGCTCAATCTAATATGTGTTTTCTATCTGAATTTTGGAGTCATAGATGAATGAAGAACTACATTTTGAGGTTCCACCACATGTTTAGCAACTAATAAAGTGCTACCTTTTTTTTTTCCCCGACTATATTGTCAGGAATTTCAAGTGTAGCATACCAGTACAATTCTGCTATTCATGGGTTTACATAGCTTAATACCTTGGCCTAACTTTTACCAAGGTATACTTTTACCAATGAAATAAGAGAATTGATACTTTGATTAATGACTAATTCTATTATAATAGAAATATGTAAAGTAATTCATTTAAACAAATTATGTGGCTTTGTATGATACATTCTTGATCAATAAAAAATTCTTAGAGCTAATTAGAGCTGTTACATGATTGGCTCAACTTGATTGTGTGGGTGTCAGTATACATTGATTGTCCACTGTAAAATGGATTAAATCAAATTGCTTAGAAGCATATATATATATATATATATAAAAACGTCCAACAATACAGACAGAATATCTACTAGTGATCTATTATCACAAAAACTGCATATGCTTTGCTGATGCCACATGTGAGTTTGAATTGTTGCTGATGATTCGTTTATTACATTCACTTGCAGCTGGGAATATGCGCCACTTAATTGCCGAAGCTTGCATGGTTTGGATTGTACTTGATATCAACATACCTTTGGCCTCCTTTCAACCAAAAAAAAGAAGTTACTAGTGGTAATGACAAGTTGGATGAGGCTCCGGAGATTTTTCCTGAAAGTGACTGTATGAATCCTGAAGTGTCTGCTTTTAGACCCACAATTTTGGAAGGGTATGTGATCTGCTTGAAAACTCTGGTAAAGGTACTTGACTTTAGTGAATATGTTTATGAATCTAAAATATGTGTTGGTTTTAAGTCTCTACGTTTTTGGCATGTTGAAAGCCTATTAGCTCAATTGGTCGAGCACCGTGTAATCACGGGATGTAGGTTCGAATCCTACATAGACTTTTTTAATACTTATTTTTATATTTATTGACCTCTGGGTAAATGGTGTCAAATTGATATATATAATTACCCGAAATTTATATATAGTTACCTTATTTTCGATATAATGACCTTAGATTTATGGAAATGTTGTAAATTTTGGTTCAATCACCTTATTTTTATATATAGTGACCTTTATTTTTGTATATAGTGACCTTTATGTAAATGGTGTCAAAAACTCAGATATAGTTACTTTATTTTTGTATATAGTGACCTTAATGTAAATGTTGTAAAAATTGTTATAGTTACCCTATTTTTGTATATAGTGACTTCTATGTAAATATGGTCAAAATTGATATAGTTACCCTTTTTTTGTATATAGTGACTTCTATTAATAGGATCAAAATTGATATAGTTACCCTATTTTTGTATATAGTGACAAATGTTGTAAAAATTGATATAGTTACCCTATTTTTGTATATAGTTACGTTATTTTTATATATAGTGACTCTATGTTATTTTATTTTTTTTAAACCGTTAGATCTTGTTAATAATAATGGATGGTTGAGATTTTCTGTTTTTAGTTTTCACCATAAGCCCTGTTTTTAGCGGAACCTCCCCGTATATATATATATATATATATATATATATATATATATATATATATATATATATATATATATATATATATATATATATATATATATATATATATAATACTATCTCTCCTCCATTGAACGTGCACTCTAAATTCTCCGTTGAAGTGCTTCTGAGTTTTTCTCCTTCATTGAAACACCTTCTGAGGTAAGATGTTTTTTAATTTAAAAAAATTTATTCATAACTCTTATAGTCAACTGAATATCAATTTCACAATCTAGGGTTTACCAATATTAAAGTTAGGGTTCATCTAGAATTGATTATTGAACAATTCGTTATATTTATGATGTTATGAAAGATTTTAGCAATGGGTTTATATGGTAGAATTTTGCTATGTGCTATTTACATTGATATTCTAAACTGATAAGGATTTAATGTGATTTTTGGAGCCTAATTTGATGATTGAGTTAAATTTGGTTGCTAGTTGTGTTGGAGGCTGTTATTTATAACCCCTTTAATGTAGGACGGTACTATGAAAATGGACCTTTTCTTCCCGGGTGAGGGCAGCCGCCCCGCTTGCCCTGGCTCAGGGACGGACGTGGTGCTCGTTCAAAAGTAATTTGTGAAATGATGATAACTTGAAAGGTTTATATGTGATATCGTTGTGTGTTTGATGCTTGTTAAGTTGATGCGGCTAGTTGAGCTAGACCTTCTATGCGACTATGGAACTATTAAAATTTTTTCCCTGAATTTAGATTATATTTGCTAAACTTGAATTATTTTTACTAAATTTAATTAAAACTCAGTTTACTGGATTTAAATGATTTGATCTTTGAAATTATTGGTTATGTATTTATTTTTGTTGAACTTAATTTTATAATTTTTTTAATCGAACTTAAATTATCTTTATCGAATATGAATTTTTAAGGTGAGGAGGACATGGCCTTAGAACTAATTTTTTAAAGAAAGACTCATGGTATACAAGGAGAGGTAAAGATGTCAAAGAATGATGATTTTGTATTAAATGTATAGTTAAAAGTTTGCTTTGATTACAATTGATCTAAAATGTTAATCTATACTTGTGCAGTTTGGAACTATCTCGGTAGTGAGGGTAGGAGTGCAGGACAAGCTTATCAAGTAATTAAAGATGCCACTTTATGACTGTGTGCTATTACTGAAACCCCATGTGCCGCCGGATTCCTTGATGGATTTGGTTGCTAGGGTGGGGAAACATATTTATGCTCGAAATGGTGTGCTTACAGAGATAAAGAAATTTGGAACTGTTCATCTGGGGTATGGTATAAAGAAGCTTGATGGAAAATACTATAAGGTAATAGCTTAGACCTTCCTTTATCTTTCTATTTTTTGTAGCAATCTGAAATATGTGATTATGAATTATGATTTTATCAGTTTTTGCTGAAGTGGTCACATTGTCTGAAGTGGTCACATTGCTGAAGTGGTCACATTGTCTCAAGCTTTGATCGTGGCTATTTGCTTTATCTATTGTTTAGGAACATTTATCCACTTCTCAGCTTTCAAATCACTGATTTATTGTCTACTTGAAGGGGCTAAGAAGATGATTCAATATGAGACAGTTTTATTCATAGAACTGAGGGTCAAAATGTGTTAATATCTACCAATTCTTGTTTGGACTTTTGGGGTGACCTAGAATTTATTTATATGGGCTGACCTAGAATTTATAATATAGGGTATATCAATATCTGTATGCTGGGACAATTATTATCTTTATCCCTGGAATTTGAATAGGAATGTCTTTTGTTGTTGGCAGAGCACATACCTCCTTTACTAGCAATGAGTTGTGCTGTGGAAGCAATTGACTTTTAGGTACAAAAATTCTTGTTAGGCATATCACTGGACAGTTCTGTGCTTGGTTTGCATTCCTCCGCGATGAAAATTTTCTGTTTAACTTCTCCAGATTTGCATTGATACTACTCAATAATAAGGTTATTTGGGATGTCATCTTTGTCGTTGAAGATTTTGACGTCTTTATAATCTTATTTTTCAGTGTTATCGATGCTTTCATCCCAAATAATCTTATTATTGAGTAGTATCAATGCAAATCCGGAGAGTAGTACTTGATCGATATCAATGCTTTCATCCCGCCATCCCGGAGGGAAAGGGGGGGGGGGAGGTTGATGATGATGACAATACATTAAAAACAAAAAGCTCTTGATTTCTTCATTCAAGTCACATCTTTTACAATTTAAAGCCTCTAGGCCCTTATATTAGACCCTACAACACCCTTTATTTTTCCTGTTAGGAATTAGCTTTATGCAACTTGCTTGCCCTTAAAAAACCACAAAAGTAATTCGAATCCATTATCACAGTTTTTATATTCAGATATGAAGTTCACATAAAATTAATATATCACAGCTCAGTCATTTATCAGCATTTTCCCATCGTAGGAAAGACATTAATCTTGTCCTTATCCTCCTTGACGGTTCTATAGCTATGTATAGCATGCACGTAGCATCAATGGCCAAGGAGAAGATTATTAGAAGGCTAGAAGCTATGCATTAGCTTTTATGGGTAGCAATGGATAAAAAAGAGAGAAAGATAGAGGCTTGAGAGAAAAAAATCAAAAAATAAAAATACAATTAATCTGAGCGTCAAGCTGATGTACAAGAAATGTAATTTGAAAGATTCTGATGGACATCAGTTCAGGAGTTCAGTCAATCATAGTTTAAAGTCAGTTTAGCTGAATTGGAGACGTAGTTACGTCAATTGCAATTCATTTTAGGACGTTGCTCAGCACATTTTGCAGTTTGCTCTTCTAAGGTAGGTCATGTGGCTGTTAGAAATTTAGAATAGCATTATATGGATTCTTGAACTGTCCATAACCTCCATATTATCATTAAGATGAGTTGATTAGGAATGTCACGATGTTTCTTGAAGTACACAGCAATAAAACAAGCCTTAGCCCCAAAATGATTTGGGGTCATCAATATTAATTTCTATCCTTAATCAAATATGTTGCAAATTTAAGGCTCAATCGAGTAAGCATGTTAGGCAAGTGGGCTATTGTATTTGTGTTGCAAATGTTTTGCATTGTTAGTATATGTTTCCCGATGGCTAATTTCTCTAAGATGTAGTGGACTCTGAACAAAGTTTGTCTAGGTTTAATATAAGCAGTTTCCTAGTATTTTTTTTTTGAAGAGAGTTTCCTAGTAAAATCTAGTCCCTATCTTTTTAAATTTACATCAGACCCAGAAACCTAATCAGATTGACTTATTGCACTATTCATACACCTCTGACAGAATTACCCACTTGCCTATCATGCATACTTCATTGCTTAAGCTCATTAGGCCAACTAAGGTTAGAGGCCCTATTGCTTAAGCTCATTAGTCAACAAAGGTTTGAGGCCTCGAGGGCTGTTTCAAACAATACTTGCTTTATTTGACATAATTCTATCAACCAGAATGCCTGCATTAAGTATTAGGGATTGATATTGAGCTGTATGAGTCAAATAGTTATGTTAGTTTCATTAAAAGAAATATATGAAGTCAAATTGGAGAATCAATTTATAAAACTCAAGGCGCACCAAGGCGATTTGGAGTCTTGTGCCTTGGTGAGTATCGGTGTATCTCGCACCTATTAAAAAGTAAAAGATTTTGAGAAAGAAAATGCTATGCGCCTCAGGGATGTGCCTAGGGTGTACTTCATTGAATTCGCTTTGCTAAACCTCAGCACCTATATTAAACTCTGAGAGGAATCTGTGCTGAACAAGTGATCTGATTTGTGTATTTATATAAATAAGCAGAAATTTAAGATTGAAAGCTTGAAATTATATTAAACTTGCTAATGGTTTCTTACTAAAGGGTAGTAGGTATAGCCTATAAAGCTCATATTAGTGACTTGAGGTCACAACTCTCTAATTAGTGACTTGAGGTCCCAACTCTCAAAAGGATTCACTCCAAAATTCTGCCTACCTTCTCCTTTCTCCTCTCTCTCTATTTATACTAAGGCTAAAGATTATTAAGTATTAACCTAATATTACTAGACTTCCCAAAGTGCCCCTCCTAAAGTTAGTTTATTTCAGAATCAATTGAGGTTTAGAAACAAGTATGGGGGATGTATTTGGTTAGATGACAAAAAGGGAGAGATGTCAGACATTCAGACTTAAGGGTCATCGAGTCCCTTCATTTTCAGGTTATGGACTTTCTTTATTTATTATATGGGAGCATAAATCCATTTGGATACTACAGTTCTAAGACCTTTTAATATTACTTAGTTGAGCACAGTTGCAGACGCTGACAGATAATAACACTAGTGGAGTTTTTGTTGAAGTAAATGTGATTTCTTAGTATATTGCTCTTCTTTCACAAGTGATTTACCATTACCTAGTTCAAGTTATATAAACCCTGCTGTTCTCAGAATTGAGGTTCTTTTCTCCGGTATGACTTCATTGGACTGTTTGTTCATGCACTGATTTTCTGTCCATCATCCAGCTTAGATTTATTTTATTTTGTTCCATTTTGTGAAATCATACTGTATCTAGATGTGTTCTAGGCTTTTAGCTGTGCTATATGCAGGGAATTTGGCTTTCCCTGTAGAGAAGAATAACAGTCTTGCCATTTACTGACATGTGAAATCTCTGTTTTGTTTGTGTAGGGAACTCTAATGCAGATGACCATGATGGCTACTCCCAATATAAACAAGGAGCTTCATTACTTGAACAAAGAAGACCGGCTACTACGATGGCTCCTTGTAAAACATCGAAACACACAATTTGGCTTTCACTACCCGGATAATGAAGATTCAAGAAGTGAACTATACAAATTCACATCGCCTAGCATATATGATGATAGAGATGGGGATGAGGATGAAGATGATGATGAGGAGCCAGAGAAGCAAGATGGTTAAGGATCATCGGATATTGCAGTTCCCATGTAATATCCTGTTCTTGCAGTTTGCGGGTAATAACTTTATTTTGCAGAGTGCATATGCAACTCACTAAGTTACTATTGATGGGTGTCTAGATTGATTTACTATTTTACGTATTTGTACTTTTGTTCCCTTTTTAGCATTAAGATATTGTACATTTATCCCAAACTACAAGTAATAGCTATACACCTGTAGTTTTTAACCCTCGTTACTTCAAAATTAAGAATTTTGTGGGGGGGTTTTATTATAATTCCCTTGATTATGATTGCTGTATACTGTTCCCATCCAAATTGCAGTTCAGCATTGTTTTTTTGTTTATGTGCTCGTTGAAAGCTTCTATTATCTGCAGCTAGGTGGCCTGGGGGCTTCTCTTAATTGTCACTAGTAAAATGGTTCATTAAAAGGTGCATTCACGAGTTAGTACTATTGCCTACACGGTATGTATTTAATCAGACACTATGGCATTTTGCTAAAAAATGCCAGCTGATTTTTTGTTGGTATATTTTTGCTATTGATTTCAATGTATGTGCAAGATACTACTAAGTAAGGGTTGGTTTGGCATTGTTGTGGTTTTCAGTTTTTTGGTTTTTTGTATTTTAAAAGTGTATAATATATGTAATATAATGAATCCAAAATTAGTCAAATTTATTAAAATCATGCTAATTTTGAAAACTGACAACAGAAAAGTGAAAACACCTTTCTTGTTTCCTGTTTTTGGTTTTTTGTTTTCAAAAAAACTGAAAACTGAAAACAAAAAATAATGCCAAACAAGCCCTAAATAAATATGGGTTAATACAATTAAATGGTCTAGTGATATACTTCTAAAGTTCTAAGTAAAGTCTTCCAATGGTTTAGCTAAAGCGTTTCTGTGATTTATACGAAGTACCTCTATTTTCCTGTGTTCTCTTCTCTTTGGCTCATGTGATGTCCTCTCCTCTTCTAGAGTGTAGCTTGTTTTTGCCTTTCTGTTCTCTGTTCTCTTTCTTTCTACTGCAGCTTCCTGTCTCTGATTGTTATGGACAAGCGATTTTTTTCCTGGGTATTTGGTTAAAATGCCTTGCACATTTATTTTATTCTTAAAACTGACCAATCTATGTGTGATTTCCTTTGAAAGACGACATTCAATATACTCTCTTACAACCATGGTATGCCAACCCTTTTTTTTCACTATTGGTATCAAGTAGCAAGTAAGAGTGAATTTCTAGCAGGTGATGTTGGAATTTGTATATGTGTGATGTGAATAAGGAATTATTTGCTGTGAGTTCCTTCTTCGTCAGATCTTGACAGTCTTAAACTCCTGTCATACTTACTTGAACTACACTTGTAATGTTATCCAGCGGTTATACTTGTTTGCGAGAACTACGTCTCTACATTGATTTCGAACAGTATCAGTGGCTAACTACAATAGGTCTTAGCAGCCAAGTTTGATCAAAAGAACCAATTTATCTGCTGTATGTTATTTAACCTCACATACATGTCTGATGTATGAGTAATATAGATAAGTGTTGGACTCAACCATTCTTTAGTTATTTTTTTTTTCTCTTTTATGTTTTTCGGATAAAATGAAGTATTTAGTCTATAGCATGTCCGAGTGGTCAAGTAATTGTATAAGATAGTATCTAATATTGCCCTACTGCCCAAATCACTATCCTTTTCTGTAGATGACGAGCTAAATCCTCACTTTCTTGAATCCTGAACGTGTGCATAGTTTTAAGTTTTAACCTTATCAAATTCATCCTGTTAATTGTATTTCAAAAATCTCATTTCTTATCGCTACTGTCCCTTATTAGGTTAAGTAATTTGTACCTAAGAGTGAGCTTAGTGAAGTTTACTACGAGTATAATTTACGTGTTTTGGTTTTTTTCACATTTTGCCCGAGCTTAATGGTCGTTGATGACTTAGCTGTAACCTTAAGCATGTCTATCAGAGTTATCATTCTTGTTCTCCTTTACTTTAGAAAGGTGCAAGAGATTACCTCCTTCATCTAAGAAACATGAAAGAAAAAATTGAAACATTACAGAAAAAATTGAAACATTACAAAAAAATAAGAAATGAAAATAAAAATAAAATAAAAATAAAAATAAAAATAAAATTTGATAGTTTAACCAATGAACTGCAGTTGTGTGTACTACTATACTGATGTCTAAGCGACTAAGCATAATATGTAGCTAACGCCAGTCATCAATGTCCAATCCAATTCATACTGTAAAGTTAATCAGGAGAAAATGAACATCATAGCATCGTTTTACTGCCTTTTTGTTTTACTGGAATCAATGCAATTCAATAAGAGTATCACACTTTTTGACAACTGTTGGACTTGCTAACAGGCCGTTGATTAACTATACCTCTGAGCCTGTGACTGCTATATGTTGAGAGCTCATATTATCGACCCTGTATAATTGTTGTGGAATAAGTGTTGGTAGAACTGCTGAGGAGAGAACTACTTTGCTGGTCCTCCGAAGAAATCTGCCACTCTGTGAATGGAGGTTTTTTGGGATGTGGTAGGTGTTCTGCATCAGTTTCAAGCATGGATATAACTGTTGAGATGTTTGGCCTATCTTTAGAAAGTTCTTGGACACACAATAGTCCAATCTGTATGCACTTAAGAATACCTTTCTCAGAACATGGCTCAAGAATCGCAGGATCAATGAATGAAATCATATTTCCCTCATTCCACAATTTCCATGCCTGAAAACATAAGCCAAGATACTTGTTAGATAGTGACTGCAAAATTTGCAATATTGTTTCATCTCATATGCAAGGAAGGCTTTAAGACATGTAAAGTTTGTTCACTTACGGATCCCATCAGTGTCAGAGACTGCTCCTCGCGGTGGAAGGTGGAGTTTTTTCTTCCACTGATAATTTCTAATAGTATAACTCCTAAGCTGTAGATATCTGATTTTTCCGAGAAGTGCCCCATTGTGTATTCAGGAGACATGTAACCACTGCCATAAGAAAAATGTCAGGCAAGCTCTGAGATTTATTGGTCTTCAGTTTCTCAATAAAAAAATAAATGCTTACTTACTAAGTTCCAACCACTCTTTTGGTGTTTGCTTGATCTTGGTTACCCCCAAATATCCGTGCCATGCCAAAATCAGAAATTTTAGGGTTGAGATCTTCATCCAACAAAATATTACTTGGTTTTAGATCCCTATGAACAATTCTTAATCTTGAATCCCTGTGAAGGTAGAGGAGACCACGACATATGCCCTCGATAATATTGAAGCGTTTCTCCCATGATAGATGTTCTTGATCCAGGGAATCTATTTACAAGAAAAAACAAGGTTCGTTATTTTTAACTCTCTTTCTATTCTTTAGGGGTTGGAAGATAGGATGCAATGTATACCCTTCAAAGAGAGAAAAAGAGATTAAAGAGAAAATGTAATGATATGTATAAACATTGCAAGAAATGAAGCAACATAACATAATACTTACAAAAGAGAAAACTATCCAAGCTTTTATTAGGCATGTATTCATAAACTAACATTTTCTCCTCTCCTTCTATGCAACATCCTAGAAGTCTGACAAGATTTCTGTGCTGAAGTTTTGAGATCACCTTCACCTCTGTCATGAACTCTTCAAGGCCTTGTCCAGAAGATTTTGAAAGTCTTTTCACTGCTATTTTCTGTCCATTTTCCAATGTTCCCTGGTACATATAGAACATAAAGATATATACAATTCTTTGTTGGTGTCACATAGCTCACATTCCAGATTGATCAAACATACCTTGTACACTGGACCAAAGCCATCTTCTCCTAGTTTGTTACTTCCATCAAAATTGTTTGTAGCATTTCTCAGCAAATCGTATGTATAAAGTGGTGGCTCATGTAGTTCAAGTTGCCCGACTTCAAAATTGTATCTGTTTGATTGCTGTCTCTTTCCTAATTTATTTGAGTCAATATGAGAAATTTTGGAATGCTTATAACCAATATTAGTATAGTATTAACAGCATATATATTATTACCTTTCTGCTTCATCCGCTTTCTCAGAAAGTATATGAATATTGCAGCTACTATTGCACTTATGATTGTTACTGATGTAATAATTGCAGTCTTTTTGTGACTTTTACTTCTATCTGAAAGTAAAGCATGCATCAATTATCATCATTTCATGTTTATGTACTATATACTAAGGAGAAATGAGTGTTGTTTTACCTAGCTCTGATGCTGCTAGACGGATGTAAAGATCCACCCCACCAGCAGAAAAACTCTGAGTGTCGATTAAGGCTTCATTCCATATCATGCATCCAATATTCAAATGATATGCATAAGCTAAACACGAACAGTTGGTCACACACTGACTTCTACAACCATCCTGACTAAATGCTGATATTGGCACTGCTTTGTCTGGCACTTTCATTGTCTGTAGCCTTAAAAATTTATCTTCAGTGCCTCCTTGGATGCCACACTGAAGTTTTTTTTCCGTCTTACACACCCACTGCTTGTATTTCCCCTTTTCCATTCCTGATCAGATTTCGGTTTAAAACCTTGCAAGCATTTGCAAGTCGCAGAGTCGTGAATGCAGGAGCCAAAAACCCCACACGTTCCATACACTTCACACACGGCTGATGGAGCTACCCACCCTGCTACCCAGCTTGCATCATTCCAATATTGTTCTATAATAGTGCCATTAGGCTTTACCAGATAGTTGAACAATAGAGACGTATCCTCAGGCTCAAACGAGATGTCATATGTTCCATTCCCAACATTCTCCTCAAGAACAAATCCATCCTTCAAAGTATTATCAACGTTTGGGAGTCCAATTAAATTGTTACCATCAAATGGACCACTTCGCCAGAAGTTAGCACCGTCTTTCCACATAAAGATTTGGGCAAGGCCGTTTGGGGTGCCAATACCAACTGAGATACTCCCCACAGAGGGATCCGAGGAGCTTTTCCATGATCGGAAAATGATATTTTTCTTGTTAGAAGTACTTAAAATTGTGGGTCTCATACCAGGTAAAAAGGTATCTGTAGGATGATCAAAGCTTTTCCATACTGTTGCTGGTGTATCAGTAGAGTTAGACTGCTGTAAAACCAGGTTCCCTGAATCCAGAAGCTCTGCAGTAGAATTCTTAATGACTAAACCTGTTACATTAGTTGACCAAATGATCTTTTTCTGACCATCGATCAACTGAAGATTTCCGTCGTCAGAAATCTGCAGTACACCGGATGAATCACTGATGGGGTTGTCGCGATTCGCCACCCAAACTACAGTCCTATCAGGAACTTGTTAAACCATATACCAACATAACGATTGGCCGAATTTGGAGGGCTGAAAAAACCAAGCTTGAAAGTACCATTTCTTGATACTAAAGAT